ACACATACACACAATGAAATGTTACTCAGCATTAAAAGAGAATAAAATTATGGCATTTGCAAGTAAATGGATGGAGTTGGAGAATATCTTGATAAGTGTAGTAAGCCAATCCCCCCAAAATTAAAGGCGGAATGTTTTCTGATTAGTGGATGCTTATCCGTGATGGACATGGGGAGAATGGAAAGAATGGAGGATTTTTGGAACCAGCAAAGGGGATGGTGGGGAGGAGGGAGTCATGGATGTAGAAAAGATGATGGAATGAGATGGTCATCATTACCCCAGTTACATGTATGGTTGCACAAATGTTGCAACTTTGCATTGTGTACAACCAGAGAATTGAAATGTTGTGCTTCAGTTGAATTGAAATGCATTCTACTGTCATTTACAACTAAGTAGAACAAATAAAAAAATTAAAAATAACAATAAAAAAGGCTATGGATGTTGCTAGTGGTAAATCTGTAAATAGTCCCTGGATTCAGTCTCTAATTCAAGATGAAATTTCACTGAATGTGAATACTTTTATTCATTAAGTAGTGGTTCCTTTCTCTTTTAAAACTGAATGAATGAAATTGGGAAGCAGGAAAGTCACAGCTTAGTGATTTCTAGTTAAATTTATCTTGAGCCTATAAAAGAAGTTCCTTGGGAGCCTTGTGTTTTGTTTTCTGAGGCACGTATTTTCCATATAAGGCATTGAATTGTAGCAGTCGGTCTGAGAAGGAAGCCTAGAGAAAGAGGAGAAAGATGTTGTTTTCTAGGTGTGTGGCCCAGGCTAGGGGCAGCATTGTATTTTCCCCCAAAGTACCTCATATTTGGAATGTGCACACCTTTACTTCTATAACATTCAGGTTTGTGTTTAACTTGTTTTAGCTATTTTGTTTCATTTTCTTCTTACAATACCAACACTAACTCTTTAAAACATATATGTCCATATATACTCCCTATATTGGGAACCTTTTTCTTACACTTTCATCCAAGCCATGCCATGCTTACATGACATGCAGGATTGAACAAATAAAAAACCTTTTTGATAAATGAACATCAGAAAATCTTGCTATTTTAGATTTCCATTGGGGATGTTTTTATGTCTTTAGATGTTGCCAAAGAAGTGAACTGTGCTTTGTTTTCTTTCCGTCTGGATGCTCTTTCAGGTATAAATACAAAAGAGTCAATTGAGTGCACATTGGTTGCATCTAGAAACTTACTAAGTTCTAAAAGAATAGAATGATTAGAAGAGACCCAAACTCTAGAATGCCAAGGAAAGTCCGTATTATATCATTTTTGTTTTGATTTGGCCACTGATATCACAGCAATGATGATGTGTTCTTTTATGTTGACTTACACTTTGTACCATTTGTTATATTACAGCTGTTTTAACCTTATTTGCTTGGTGTAAATGCTGTTTGCAGGATTTTCCCTATAAAGTTAATTTTTTTTTCATTATTTTAAGGAATCTTGATAGGATTTTTCTAAACAGTCTACATAAACTTTTATCTTCGATATAGAACCCATTTTTTTCTTAGTACTTTTCATTTGTGCCTTGCTTTGGTGAACGTAGCCTTTGGCTTTTGATTACCAGGGTTATTGGCTTTGTTACTGAAAATTCTGAAGCAGACCACAGTCCTATAGGCTTTCATTTTATTCTGCCTTCAGCTTACAGACATACCTCCTTGCATTTTCAATGAAAGAAGTGCCTGAAAATTATAAAGTGTACCTCAAGATGAATTTGAATAACAGGGAGAAAATAAAGAGTATAAAAGACCCAGTAACTGTGGCTCTTATTTTATTCTCTATTGTTAAAAGTGTGTATCTCAATAGTGTCTTTTAAAAGAGCATCCTCCCAAATTGATTTGTTTTACCAAATGGAAGATATGACTTATTCTTATTTGGATGAAAAATTGTCTGTTGTTTCCATGTATAAAGTTAACATTTTTATGTGTGCATATATAGTCTGCTCCTATGTGTGCTATGTGGCATATATACTCTGCTGCAACCAACACTGCAGATGGATGGGTAACCAACACAGATGGTGAGCTAGTCTGGAAAATTAATTAGAAAGTACAGAAATGAGAAAAAATTTATTTACTAAAAGCAGGGGCATGGCAAAATGATTGAGCTGTGATGGAGATTTGATCTAACAAAAGATGGAGTCCAGGCAGTAGTTTATATGGATAGGTACACCAAAGGAATTCAGTGAGATGAACTTCTTCAGGAACATGGGATGAAGATGCAAAAACAACTTTTGGGGGGCTTAGCAGATTACGCCCACCTCCTCTCTACCTTTGGGTGGCTGTGTTTAAATCTAGGGCTGTCCAAGCCAAGGCAGGGTGTGCATAGGTGGAATTTTACCTCCAGATTTTCAAAAAGCAAACTCCTTGCCTTGTGATAGCTCAAACAAACCCATAATTTATACATGTCTTCCAACATGTATAAGTTAAATATCATTTCATCAATCTGCTTTTGTTTCTTCTTAACATGTTTCCATTAGTCTTCTCATTTATAATCACTACTTGCTCTGAAATTTTTCTAAAAATTCACACTTTAAATCAACTTTTTAATGAATTTGTTTTAGTTGTTAATGGATCTGTATTTTATTTATTTATATGTGTTGCTGAGAATCAAACAGTGCCTCACACATGCTAGGCAAGCGCTGTATAGTGAGCCACAATTCCAGACCTTAAATTGACTTTAATGCTCTCCTTTTTTTCTGAATTACAGGTCAAATAAACTTGGGTAAAAATTAGGTCTTTTACTGGGTGTTTGACTAAATGTCATAAAAATGAATATTGTTACTGCTGTCACATTCTTTTGGATTTCTGAAAAAAGACATGAAAAAGACATGAAAAGTACATAAATCCTTTGAAATATTTGAACTCCAATTCATCAAGGGTTTTTTTTTTTTTTTTCCTACACTGGTCTACTTCATTGTTGTGCAGGAGTATTTCTTGGCCCACTGGCACTAGGATTACCAGGTTGGAATTACTGCTACATATTCAGAAAACCAGGTCTCATCCCAGAACTACTGAGCAAGAGTCTACATTTTAGTAAATCTCTGATTCATGGTTTTGATTAAAAATTTGAGAATCATCTTTTTTACTCACTATAACTTTTTTGTCTTAGAAATAGAAAATTTGTTTTATGATATTAGAGTTGCAATTAAAGTGTATATTTCTGTATTGATGCCTTAATTTTACATTCTACTTCATAAAGGTGACATTTAAATATATATGTGTGTATACACACACACACACATATTATGTATATATGACTCAACACTCTTTCTTCAGAATTATAGAGAATATCACTGTTACAAAGTATTTTCTTGAATAATTAAAATTTACTCACCTACTTGAAAACCACTTCTACTAACTCTGATTTTTATCTTCTTTCAACTTAAAAGCTCCCTGTTAATGATATTTTGGTCAATGTACTATCAATTTACCTATTTTTATTTCAGGAATCATTGGCATTCAGGGACGTGGCCATTGATTTCTCTGAAGAGGAATGGAAATGCCTGGAGCCTGCTCAGCAGAATTTATATAGAGATGTAATGTTAGAGAACTACAGAAACCTGATCTTCCTGGGTGAGCAGCGCTTCCCTTCAGAATTCATCATTAATCAGAATTCTTAATTCCTTCCCATGCAGAATATCTTTGGGAAGCTTCTGCTCTTCTTGAATGAGTTTCAGATTTTTGCTTTCAAGTAAAAGGATTAGGCAGGTTTTTTTCCTCTTTTTTTTTCCAGAGAAGAAAATATTACTTTCATTACTTTTAGTCCTTAATGTCTCCCTTTCTTCAGGTGTTATATACCCTTTTCTTTAGATTGGTAGTACTTACAGTAATTTTGTGATACCAAATGATGTGACCTACACATTAAAGTCCAATTTCTTTTCTTTACAGTACAAGAATGGAGGCATCAGTAGTCACAGGAAGAATCCCCAAAATAGTCATTTTATTTTCCAATGAACACATCTTATTGTCTCTAAACCATATTTGCACACCTTGCTCTGGAGCAAAGGAGAGAGCCCTGAGCCATGTTCCTAGGTAGATAGAAATTCATGAATCAGAGGACACAGTTGAAAGGTCCAAAAAGTTCAAGGAGGAAGCCAAACTTCCAAATGTTGGTAGAGAAGTTGTCATTTTCAATTGCTAGTGTTTTGTTTTGTTTCTTTGGTTAAGCCAAGTATCTCTTTTTGTACTATAGTATTTTTGATTTGTCCATATAAAAAACAGCCAATGGTAGACTATTAATCATTTTGGAAAAAAAACATGGAAGTTATTAATGAATTCAAAAAGAGGTAAGCACACTGATACATGCTTGCAATCTTAGATAATGGAGAGGATTTGCAAGTGGATTTTGTTTAATGCCTGTTATGGCAAATTTTTAACACCATGTCTCAAACAATTTATGGCATTGCTAAGTTGCTGAATGTGGCTTTGAACTTGAGATCCTCCTTCCTCTGCCTCCCAACTATTGGGGATTTCAGGCCTGTACCACCACATTAGCTAATATACTCTAGATGAATGCTAATAGAATGAATACAATTTTTTAAGCACTAAAATGATAATTACATTAAAACAGTGTAGTTGTTAATTAGGTATATTTAGTCATTTCATTATTTATTTATATTTTATATTTTATTCATATTTTAAAGTATGCTTAGCAAATGAAATATAATTTGTCAATGAAACAAATCAGTAAATAATTCAAAATTATAAAAATTTAAAACCAAGTTATCTGTCTTGATTGTTATTTAGTGATTTTATTCATGTAATATTGATATTAGCCGTGTGTGTGTGTGTGTTTATTTTTCTCATTAAAAAGATTTATCCCTATTTCTCATTAGAGATCATAAGCCCTTAAACCCTGTTGAATATCTGTATTATTGTCATCCAAAATCTATTTTATTCAAGTCTGTTTCCTGATCGACAGGAAGTAATTTTCAGACAGTTCCCCCCAAAGCCGGAAATGTTACCATTATACATTTTCTATTAGGTAGAATTGAGGTTGATTTGTGCACAGTGCTATATTGTGGAGGAGGAAGGTCTGGTGGATAAAAGTAACACACTTTCCTTTCCTCTGCTCTACTGCCTCCTTAATAATATATTCATTGTAGATATTGTGAATACTTTGGGTAATTCTCAGAAAGAAATTTTGTCTGTCAATTGTTATTTAGTTTATATATTTATGGAGGCTTGTTGGCCTATGATATACTGTTTTGCTACCCTGCTGGTGTCCTGTAATTTCATGTTATATTTGTTAAGTATATTCCCAGTCTAATATGTAAAATAATTCCTATTTTTATTCTTTTATTCTTTCAGCCATGAACTCTCAGTATACCCAGAAAATTTCACCTGAGTCTTGCATAAAACTTTTTTTTAAAAAAGTGATAAAGAGAAGATATAGAAATTGTGACCTTGACCATTTACAACAAAAGAAAGTACAGGACAGTGTAGGTGAGAATGAAGATTGGAAATCCTATTATAAAGGACGAGACAAATCAGTAGTGCATGTCCATAATGAAAATTTTGTCAGCAGACCTGAAGAACATTTAATACCTCAGAAAAGTATTCCATATATAACTGAAGGACAAGTTTCTAAAAATGATCATTTTGAAAGTTTCTTTAAAAACTGTCCATTGTTCAGCAATGAACAAAAAATTCTTTCTTGTTCCCAATCATACACTTTTAATTGTTGTGGGAAAGCCCCTGTGTCCTCATTGCTTAATCAAAATTCAGATACAGAGTTCTGGAAATTATGGAACACACATAATGAAACAAGCAACACCTCTAACCAGGTTTCTACTCTTACCAAACACCAGAGAATTCATACTAGAAAGCATCTCTACAAATGTGAAGAAAGTGGCAAAGGTTTTAATAAAAGTTCACAGCTTAATCAACACCATACAATTCATACTGGAGAGGAGCTCTACAAATGTAAAGAATGTGGCAAAGGTTTCACTCAGAAAGGAAGTCTTACTCAACACCAGCGAGTTCATACAGGAGAGAAGCCCTACAAATGTGAAGAATGTGGGAAAGCTTTTACTCAGAGAGGAAGCCTTACTCAACACCAGAGGATTCATACTGGAGAGAAGCCCTACAAATGTGATGTATGTGGCAAATGTTTTACTAAAAGAAGTTACCTTACTCATCACCACAGGATTCATACTGGAGAGAAGCCCTACAAATGTAATGAGTGTGGCAAAGCTTTTAATAAAAGAGATCAACTTAGAATGCACCATAGAATTCATAGTGGAGAGAGACCCTACAGTTGTGAAACATGTGGCAAAGGTTTTACTCAAAGATCATGCCTTACTCAACACCAGAGAATTCATAGGAGAGAGAAGCCCTACAATTGTGAAACATGTGGAAAAGGTTTTGCTCAAAGATGTTACCTTGCTCAACACCAGAAAATTCACAGTATAGAGAAGCTCTACAAATGTAATGAATGTGGGAAAGGCTTTACTCATAAAGGGAGCTTTACTGAACACCAGCGGATTCATACAGGAGAGAAGCCCTTCAAATGTGAAGAATGTGGGAAAGGTTTTACTCATAGAGGAAGCCTTCTTCAACACCAGAGAATTCATACTGGAATAAAGCCCTACAAATGTGATGTATGTGGCAAATGTTTTACTAACAGAAATTATCTTCCTCAACACCAGAGGACTCATACTGGAGAGAAGCCCTACCAATGTAATGAGTGTGGCAAAGCTTTTAATAAAAGAGATCAACTTACAAAACACCAGAGAATTCATAGTGGAGAGAAGCCCTACAGTTGTGAAACATGTGGCAAAGGTTTTATTCAAAGAGCAAAGCTTATTCTACACCAGAGAATTCACAGTGGAGAGGAACTCCACAAATGTAATGAATGTGGGAAAGGCTTTAATCTAAGAGCATGGCTTACTCAACACCAGAAAATTCATACTGCGCCCTACAAATGTGATGTATGTGGCAAATGCTTTACTTATAGATATTACCTTGCTCAACACCAGAGGATGCATACTGGAGAGAAGCCCTATAAATGTGAAGAATGTGGGAAATGTTTTATTATGAGAGCACATCTTACTCAACACCAGATAATTCATACTGGAGAGAAGCGCTACAAATGTGAGGAATGTGGGAAATGTTTTACTATGAGAGCACACCTTACTCGACACCAGATAATTCATACTGGAGAGAACCCTACAAATGTGAAGAATGTGGCAAAGGTTACTCTCATAGACAGTACATTATTTGACACCAGAGAATTCATAATGGAGAAAAGCCCTATGAATGTGAAGAATGTGGGAAATGTTTTACTATGAGAGCACACCTTACTCAACATCAGATAATTCATACTGGAAAGAAGCCCTACAAATGTGAAGCAAGTGGCAAAGGTTTTACTCAAAGAGCATGCCTTCTTCAACACCAGGGAATTCATACCTGAAAGTATTGCTACAAAAGTAAAGAATGTGGCAAAGCTTTTAATCAGAAACCATGCTGTACTCAATACCAGAGAATTCATAACTGGGAGAGGTAATTCAAATGTACATTCTGTTGCAGACCTTTTAGGAATTGATCAAACATTACTAATCACTGGAGAATTCATAGTGCATAAAACCCCTAAACAATGTGAATACTGTGCCCAAGTCTTTACTCAAATTTCATATTTAACATTAGAAACCAGATACCTATAGGGAAGGTAGAAAGACATCTCCCTGAAATATATGCCTTAAATAATAGCAAAATATCTATAAGGAAGAAATCATGCTAGAAATATAAAAAAAATATATAAAAAAGCCCTCTTCTGTATTCCATTTTATTATGTATGTAAGAAATGAGGAATTGCCTTTAACTTTTGCTTGAAGTTTATTAAAATCCTTAGCTGATGTGGCAAACAAAGAAATTCTCATAAATATCATAGAATTGTGTAGAAAACTTGTCTCTGGACAGATAGGAATTTATTAAAAATCAAAGAATACTCAGTATCCTCACTTTTGAAAACTAGAGAAAAAAACAGTTCTAACATAGATCATTTCACGAGAAGAAAACCTGTTCCTGAGAGTTGTTAATCTATATTTTTGAGACTTTGTGGTGTATTTGAAATACCTGATTAATATTTTGTATACAATATGTTAATGTGTTAACAGTGTTATGTGTTGAATCATGATACTATCTCACTGGTATCACAGTGCCTCTTTACTAAGGGTTCTACATAGCAGATAGTAAAAACATACTAAAATACCACCATTAATTTTTTAGAAACATCAACTCACTCAGAAAATAGTGTTCCCATAAGTCAGACCTTTATCCACCTGTTTATCATTAAGGAAACATTAAAACAGTTATAGATAACATATAAGTACATGAAAATAAACACCAAATTTTACTCTCTTGAATTAGTACTTTAAAATTTTACTGTGTAAGTTCTGGACATGGTGGTATATTACTTTAATTCTAACAACTTAAGAGGCAGAGACAGGAGGATCCCAGGTTCAAAGTCAGCCTCCACAAATGAATGAGGCCCCACACAACTTAGACCCTGTCTCAAGATAAAAAGGCACTGGGGATGTGGCCCAGTGTTTAAGCACTCCTGAATTCAATCCTTTGTACTCCCCCCTCCTTTTTTTCCCCTATAGAATGACTTTACTCCTGAGGGCCTTGCAATTTGAGGGAGCAACACAACTTCTCAACACAGGGATTTTGACTATCTTAGAAACCAAGAGCCACCAGTGCATATTTTGTGAAAAGGAGGGTCATTGCAGAGAGATTCCCAATAGTTACCCAGGAAGCAACATGTTCAGCTGAACACTGACCCATTCTGGCTCCTGGCATGTCTGATAGAAAACAACAAAAAAACTGAAGAATCCAAGCATTTCCTTATGAAGTCTCTAGATAATTACCCACTGAGGAGACTTCAGTCATGTCAAAAAATTAAAAAAATATATTTTTGCCCAATATCAAATGCCTATTTGGTTTTGGACAACCAGTAGAAAATTTAACCAGAAACAAGTGTTCAATTATGAGGGTAAAAAAAAAGAGCCATACTTATGGAGCATTTAAACCTTCAAAATAATTTATAATATGATATATCTTTTGACTTTAGCTATCTTTTATTCTACTCTATAATTTACAATGGTTATTATACTTTTGGGATCAGAGGAATTATAATAAATGGCACAGGCTCCCTAAGCTTATTTAGCACATATTCTTTCTGAGATATTCCAAATCATATCTGTCATAAATTTTCCCTGTTTAACAGGACTGGAGCACATGCCACCACATATAGAAAGACAAAGTCCCTATTCAAATGAGCCACTGCAGGTTCTATTCAAGTCCCGATTAAAAGCTAAACACAAAAATGGAAAAAAAAATTGTGGTTGTATTACTCTTTGGGTCAATGGAACACCCACAAAAATTCGTCTTATATAAATTAATTGGGATTAAAAGTACTTCAAGGGAATGATAATTTTTATGCATAAGGAACAGAAGCAGTATGTGAGAGAGATCTTGGTTTTCATATTCTGCCACAGTCACCATCCATTCTTCATACTAGGTTTATGGATGTATCTTTTCTGCATGTCTACATCCTATTTCATCTCACATAAAAGGCTGCTTTGGTTCTGACAAGTCATTTAAAGGGTTCTTAAGGCAAGTTAAACTGAAATTGGGAGTGACTTGGGAGATCCTGAATTTTTTAAAAAGTAATTTTAGATGTAGTTGGACACAATGCCTTTGTTTTATTTATTTATTGTTATGTGGTGGTAAGGTTTGAACCCAGTGCCTCACTGGGCAAGCACTCTACCACTGATCTACAAACTCAGCCATGTTACTGCATTTTTAAATATTTTTCAATTTACAGGTAAGAAATGTAACAAGTTCAAGGGAAGTTTCAATACATGTATTATTATATAATACAATTAGTAATTCACAAAACTTTTCCCTCAAATATTTTGCATCATTATGGGGAAAACATTGAGTGTTTCTTCTCATCTTTGAATGCACTATACATTAATATAGTCACCCAACTGTGTAATTGGACCATACAAACCCAGAACTTATTTTTTCCATGAAATTGTTTATGAACCCATCTTTTTTCAACCCATAACCAGAGTGGGACCCATGAATCAATTTCATACATTTTATACAAAAGATCAGTCACTGCAGATGGCTTCCTCTTTCTTCCGTTGGCATGTGTTCCTCTCCTAGGCACCATGGCATATGTGCCCATTCATCAGCAAGTCACCACAGTATGGTTGACATGGGAAGTTCATATTCCTTTTTTAAAATTGAGATGGATGTGGTGTTTCATTTACTTGCCCCACTATAATTGTGTAGTATAACATGAGCCACTAACTTCCTAAAACACACACACTCACTAGCACATTATATTTACATCTCCCCTTAATTTTCCTTGTTTTCATGGAGGAGATTCAGTTTCCCAAATGAACTAGAAAATAACTGTTTCAAAATGGTAAGTCTTGAGTCCAGTTATCTGTGAGAATCATTCACCTTGAATAGAAAAGGGGTACTGCTAAACAGGTGGGACAGGAGGTCAAGTGCAATTAAGTGTGATTAACCTATCTCTATTTTACCTAGAGTGACAGAGAATATTAGTGGTAATTTTTAAGACCTAGTGTGAAACAGTATTACAATAAAAAGCACTTTATTTTTTACTATTGGGAATTGGATCCAGTGCTATTATACCACTGAGCAATATATTTACTCTTCGGGTTTTTTTTTTCTTTTTTCTTTCTTTCTTTCTTTCTTTTTTTTTTTTTTTTTGAGAAAGTCTTGCTAAGTTGCTGAGGCTGGCCTCAGAATTGCACTTCTTCTGTCTCAGCCTCCTGAGTCACTGCATGTGTCACTGTGCCTTAAAAAACAAACAAACAAAAAACTACCCACACAGACCTTAAATCTTCAGGAAAAGTTTTTTTTTTTTTTAAGTACATATGAATGACCACAAACCCAATGAGTTTTAGAATACCCTTAACAACTACCTCATGTTTGCCTGTTGTCAAAATGAAATGGATTATAGTCAAAGTAAAACCATCAACTAATTATTTAAATGTTTCTTTGGGGCGGGGATTGAGGATTAAACCAAGACGTGCTTAACAGCAGAGCTGCATCTCCAGCCCATTCTTATGTTTTATTTTGTTTAGACACAGTTTTGTTGAGTTGCTCAGGGACCTGGTAAGTTGCCGAGGCTTGTTTTGAATTCAGGATCCTTCTGCCTCAGCCTCCGGAGCCACTGGGACTGCAGGTGTGTGCCATTGTGCCCAGCTTAAATGATTTTAAGGGAGTTTTACATTAGCCTTCCATAGCTCAGTAGGGAGAGCAGAGGACTTCAGGTGTTTGCGGACATCTGCAGGTTGCTATCCCAAATGTCACCCCAATGTGAATGGTTCTACTCTCTGGGTCTGTACTCAACACTCTTAAGGAAACTTGGAGAAGTGTGAGCACTCTTATTTGAGTATATGCATGACTTGTACAGCATCCTCAGGCTGGATAAATGAATGTGGATAGTGGATTTCTCAGAGCCAATAAAATACATGAAGCTGGGTGTGGTGGTGCATGCCTGTAATCCCAGTGGGATGGGAGGCTGACAGGAGGATCACAAGTTCAAAGCCAGCCTCAGCAATGGCACAGCACTAAGCAACTCAGTGAGACCCTGTCTCTAAATAAAATACAGCTAACTGCAAGATAATCTCAGGGAATTTTGGAAGGAAAGTGGGAGCCAAGGAGTTATTGGCCTGTGCAGGCTTGTGGTCTACCTCCCTTATACCCTGACTCTGCACATGTTCCTTCCCCACAGGAAGAGAGCAGCTCCAATACCCCTGACCCCAGGGAGGACAGCCCACACATCTACAGCTGCATGCTTGCATCAGCCACCCAGTTCCTGCTTTTTTTATTCTCCTGCCTTTTGCAGAAGTCTCTCCAGTTCCTGAAACCTTCCCAGCCTACCTGATCCTGGGGCCCAGCTGGAATGAGAGTGTTTCTGCTGGAGTCTTCCCTGCAGACACTTCTTTTCACCCCTCTGAACTCAGCTCTGCCATCACTGCAGTTTGTTAAGCAGCTTGAGTGTTCTAGGCCCAACGAGTCTACTTTGAGACTCAGTATAATTTCTTTTAAGATAATTTCAGCACTTCTCCAACAAGAGTATTATACTTCTGGGCTGGGGATGTAGCTCAAGCGGTAGTGAGCTCACCTGGCATGTGTGCGGCCCGGGTTCGATCCTCAGCACCACATACAAAGATGTTGTGTCCGACAAACACTAAAAAAAATATATATATTTTAAATTCTCTCTCTCAAAAAAAAGAGTATTACATTTCTAAGCTCACTAAAGAGGTCTTCATTGTATCATGCAGATATGGTGATATAGTCAAGTGTTCTCAGATTTCGATTCTCCAGAAACCATGTTGGTGTTGGTTTCTGAAACAGTTTTGGCCTGTAGCCTGGGGTTTTGCATTTCTTAAATATATACAGGTGAGGTGTTTGTACCACTGATCAAAAAGTCATTGTGTGAACCCCTCGTCTCAGGCTTTAGCACAAGCAGGCTTCATTAAGAAACACTGAGTGGGACCCTAATCCTTGGTTCTGAGGCTGGAATTCAGTTTTCCAGGAGACATTATGCTGATCCATTGGATTGCGGGCCACTTCTAAAATCTTGTGAGTACTCAGCAAAATAAATAAGTAATAAATATATATCTAATAATTAGAATTTTCTTAAGATTTCCACCTTGAAGCCACTCTGATGTTTGTTTTACTAATAAAATGATGATCTTATTGATACTCTAGCAACACTTGGTGGCCATAAGGAAGTGAGGACTATGTCTGCATAAGATAGTAATCTGGGATAAAAGGAAGTTCTACTGAGTCTCGAAGTAGAAGGCTCATTAACCACTAGAATTCAGGAAATGCCCATGACCATTATTTGACATTAAAAACAAGCAATACCTAAGCAATCCAGGATTCCTCCTATTCCAGCATTCTTGCTCACATAACATGACACCCAGACAATGAGTAATCTGAAATGTCTGGTGTGAAATCACACAACTCTGCTCTGATTCCAGCTCTACATCATTCCTCACCTAATGTGTATCTATAAATAACACCCCAGATGAATGGTTTTTTGTATCTCCCTTAGAGATGTCCCACATTTGTCCTTGAATATGGATCTGCTTTCCTAAATAAATCTTTCCATGTCTCTGAGAAGTGCTGAAATTCTGTTCTGCCATGCACATCATTGTCCCACTTTTTCTAAGTTGATGTTTCTCTTTTTCTTTCTTCCTCCCTCCCTCCCTCCTCTCTCCCTCTCAGGAATCTTCTCCCATTCCATTATATCATATAGTAAGATTCATATGTCAGCACTGGAATTTGGGACATTTTTATAGTTTGGGGGAGATAACAACCAACTGTGAAAATAATTTTTTTTAAATAGACAAGGGACCAGGTTTGGTGGTACATGCCTGTAAGCTCAAGTATTTGGAGGCTGACTAAGAAGAATCTCAAGTTCAAGGCCAGACTCCACATTCTGCCTCAAAATTTAAAAATAAATAAATAAATAAAATAAACAGGATTGGTATTGTTGCTGGTTGGTCCAGGAATCTGGTGTTGCGTGTTGTAGCTCTTGAAGTCTTGAAGGAGAGTATTTCAAATGAGCCATAAAATGTAGTTGAAGTATAGCAAAGTTTATTAGGAAACAAACTTGTATCAAGAGGGAGCCAAGGGAAATGAGACATCTCTCTCACGTACCCTTTGCCCCCAAGATTCCTGGGGCATTATGGGGGTTTTCATATTTCTGCCTAACTTTTAACTGACAATAGGATTACATCAGAGTTTTAAATCCTTACTGCACATGGTTTTGCCCAAGCAAAATCCATGTGGGGAGGGAGATTTAACTATAATAAAAACTTGTATTATTAAAAGATTAAAATAATCTGCTAAAGATCTAAATGCAATGATTTGTCATCTTGGCCTGCACTGATGAGTTCTACTTGGAATTTTTTTTTTTTTTACAGATTTTATGCTCAGTAGCCTTAGCTTTAAGTATCCTGTTAATCTAAATCTTGAACTCTTTGGTCATTGTGAAGGTCACAATGTCCTCTTTCAGGGTAAGATGTTCTTATTGACTGAGAGCAGTCTGTGGACATGCATTCCTTGGCTCTGAGAGACCAACTAGAAGACAACAGGTGCACCATGTAGAAATGTAGCATCATATTCTTTTAAGCCAGAGCAGGCCCAGAATACCTTAGGTGAATTGTATCTTTTTAAAAAAGCATGTTGTGGGGGTGCAGCATCTCATTCCACCATCTTTTCTGACCTCATTGTAGGTCCAGCCTATAGATTTCAAATTCCCCTTTCTCTCACTCAGGTAAAAGAGTCCCACCAAGCTTCTCCTTTTGACTTCTGACTGACATCAGGATTGCATCAGACTCTCAAGTCCCCATGGAAAGGAGATTTTATTACTGTTGAACTAAACATCCAAGGTGATCCCAGGTCATTTTGACCCACATGATTGGTTCTAGTTGGAACTTGTTACACATTTTATTTTAGGGAGAATTACCCTATCTCCCTGAGTTCTGGAATCTGGTCTGTGAAAGTGTCATACTCCACCCCAGGTCACTTGTGTTCTTACTGGCAGGGAGGAGCTCTGTGAGGCTGTGTTTCTTCCACAGATAACATGTTGTTTGCTGAGGAATGTAATATGTTTTATTTACTTAAGCTGGGCAGGGCTGTAGGTAATTACTCTTTTAAATTTTATTTATTTTTATTTGTTTGAATTAATTATACATGATAGAAGAATGCATTTCAATTTATTTATGCAAATGAAACACAGATTTTTATTACCCTGTTGTACATTATGCAGAGTTGGGCCACATGTGCAGTCATACATTTACCTAGGGTAATGATTTGCATCTCATTCCACCATCTTTCCTGACCTCATGCTCCCTCCACTCTCCTCCTTCCCTTTGCCCAATCAAAGATCCTCCATTTACCCCAAGCCCCCCAATTATGGATCAGTATCCACTTATCAGAAAAAAACATCACAAAGAAATAAGTATCTGAAGTGTTGGATGTGTCAATTACCCTAATCTGATCATTAAACATTGTATACAAATATTGAAATGTCATATTCTAC